TGTGAGGACAGGGTCCAGGATCAGGTTTGGACCCAGACAGGTCAGTACCCCTCTTCCTCTCATGCCTGTCCTGCCTCCTGGGTTTCTACACAGATGACTGATATTAGACAACAAAACACATTGATTAAAACATGGTTATAAGCTGTTTCTAAGTGTTATTTGGTGTCTTCATACCTGTAGCTCTTCACAGAATCAGGTTCTGATCTGAGGAAAGGATATTGGGATAAAACAGACACTCTGTGATCCCAGAGGAAGAATTACACTGTGGGCTCCTCATCTATCGCTTCCTGGCCCAAACAACTCATCCATCCATCTGTTCCTGGCTGTCACCGTTCAGAACTCCTTAAACAACTCACTCATCCATCTGTTCCTGGCTGTCACCGTTCAGAACTCCTTAAACAACTCACTCATCCATCTGTTCCTGGCTGTCACCGTTCAGAACTCCTTAAACAACTCATCCATCCATCTGTTCCTGGCTGTCACCGTTCAGAACTCCTTAAACAACTCATCCATCCATCTGTTCCTGGCTGTCACCGTTCAGAACTCCTTAAACAACTCATCCATCCATCTGTTCCTGGCTGTCACCGTTCAGAACTCCTTAAACAACTCATCCATCCATCTGTTCCTGGCTGTCACCGTTCAGAACTCCTTAAACAACTCATCCATCCATCTGTTCCTGGCTGTCACCGTTCAGAACTCCTTAAACAACTCATCCATCCATCTGTTCCTGGCTGTCACCGTTCAGAACTCCTTAAACAACTCATCCATCCATCTGTTCCTGGCTGTCACCGTTCAGAACTCCTTAAACAACTCATCCATCCATCTGTTCCTGGCTGTCACCGTTCAGAACTCCTTAAACAACTCATCCATCCATCTGTTTCCTGGCTGTCACCGTTCAGAACTCCTTAAACAACTCATCCATCCATCTGTTCCTGGCTGTCACCGTTCAGAACTCCTTAAACAACTCATCCATCCATCTGTTCCTGGCTGTCACCGTTCAGAACTCCTTAATCAACTCATCCATCCATCTGTTCCTGGCTGTCACCGTTCAGAACTCCTTAAACAACTCATCCATCCATCTGTTCCTGGCTGTCACCGTTCAGAACTCCTTAAACAACTCATCCATCCATCTGTTCCTGGCTGTCACCGTTCAGAACTCCTTAAACAACTCATCCATCCATCTGTTCCTGGCTGTCACCGTTCAGAACTCCTTAAACAACTCACTCATCCATCTGTTCCTGGCTGTCACCGTTCAGAACTCCTTAAACAACTCATCCATCCATCTGTTCCTGGCTGTCACCGTTCAGAACTCCTTAAACAACTCATCCATCCATCTGTTCCTGGCTGTCACCGTTCAGAACTCCTTAAACAACTCACTCCATCCATCTGTTCCTGGCTGTCACCGTTCAGAACTCCTTAAACAACTCATCCATCCATCTGTTCCTGGCTGTCACCGTTCAGAACTCCTTAAACAACTCATCCATCCATCTGTTCCTGGCTGTCACCGTTCAGAACTCCTTAAACAACTCATCCATCCATCTGTTCCTGGCTGTCACCGTTCAGAACTCCTTAAAACAACTCACTCATCCATCTGTTCCTGGCTGTCACCGTTCAGAACTCCTTAAACAACTCACTCATCCATCTGTTCCTGGCTGTCACCGTTCAGAACTCCTTAAACAACTCATCCATCCATCTGTTCCTGGCTGTCACCGTTCAGAACTCCTTAAACAACTCATCCATCCATCTGTTCCTGGCTGTCACCGTTCAGAACTCCTTAAACAACTCATCCATCCATCTGTTCCTGGCTGTCACCGTTCAGAACTCCTTAAACAACTCATCCATCCATCTGTTCCTGGCTGTCACCGTTCAGAACTCCTTAATCAACTCATCCATCCATCTGTTCCTGGCTGTCACCGTTCAGAACTCCTTAAACAACTCATCCATCCATCTGTTCCTGGCTGTCACCGTTCAGAACTCCTTAAACAACTCATCCATCCATCTGTTCCTGGCTGTCACCGTTCAGAACTCCTTAATCAACTCATCCATCCATCTGTTCCTGGCTGTCACCATTCAGAACTCCTTAAACAACTCATCCATCCATCTGTTCCTGGCTGTCACCGTTCAGAACTCCTTAAACAACTCACCCATCCATCTGTTCCTGGCTGTCTCCGTTCAGAACAGGAGGACTGTAAAGGATTAAGTCAACCTGGAACAGAGGAGATGATATTGTTACGTGTTTCTAATGGTTTCAATAAGAACATTAGAAACATCTGGAGATGTTTAACTGCAGTAACTGTGTCTGAAATGGCACCATATTCCTGTATAGTGCCATACTGCTATGGGCTCTGGTCAAAAGAAGTTAACTATAGGAACAGGGTGTGATTTCAAACACAGCCTTAGTAACTCTACTGTGAGATATAATATTAGTCAGGCATCTCCCAGGGCACCTCCTCCTATAGGAGTTATAATATTAGTCAGGCACCTCCCAGGGCACCTTCTCCTCTAGGAGTTATAATATTAGTCAGGCATCTCCCAGGGCACCCTCTCCTCTAGGAGTTATAATATTAGTCAGGCACCTCCCAGGGCACCTTCTCCTCTAGGAGTTATAATATTAGTCAGGCATCTCCCAGGGCACCTTCTCCTCTAGGAGTTATAATATTAGTCAGGCATCTCCCAGGGCACCCTCTCCTCTAGGAGTTATAATATTAGTCAGGCATCTCCCAGGGCACCCTCTCCTCTAGGAGTTATAATATTAGTCAGGCACCTCCCAGGGCACCTTCTCCTCTAGGAGTTATAATATTAGTCAGGCACCTCCCAGGGCACCTTCTCCTCTAGGAGTTATAATATTAGTCAGGCACCTCCCAGGGCACCTTCTCCTCTAGGAGTTATAATATTAGTCAGGCATCTCCCAGGGCACCTTCTCCTCTAGGAGTTATAATATTAGTCAGGCACCTCCCAGGGCACCCTCTCCTCTAGGAGTTATAATATTAGTCAGGCACCTCCCAGGGCACCTTCTCCTCTAGGAGTTATAATATTAGTCAGGCACCTCCCAGGGCACCTTCTCCTCTAGGAGTTATAATATTAGTCAGGCATCTCCCAGGGCACCTTCTCCTCTAGGAGTTATAATATTAGTCAGGCATCTCCCAGGGCACCTTCTCCTATTAGGTCATTTAAGTCAGGCACCTCCCAGGGCACCTTCTCCTCAACAACAGGGAAGCGAGGGATGGTACTGTCAGGGTAGTCCAGACGCCGGGCGTTGACATGGTAAAACGTCTTCTCTCTCTCTGACTTCTCCTGTCTATGGGGTTCATTGGGTTCACTTTCAGACCTCTTCAGTTCACCAGGTGAGGCTAGATAGATCATACAGAGGACAAGATGAAAATACAGCTATCGATCTACAGTATTTACTGTATCTACGGTTACAGACTCCAGTGAGAGGGGGAATAATGTTCTACTCCAGAAATCAGGACCTCACCCAGCTGTGGAGCGTCCTCTTTAGAGTGTAGGCCCTGAGCTTTGAGGGTGTCCATGATCCACTGGAGAGCTCTGGCTGACTGGGAGACCTGGAGAAATGATAACAATAGTCCTGAATGTGTTTCAAATGTGACTTTATAAACACAGTATGTCAGAGTGATGGGTAAAGTGATGTGCGGGTCAGCACCTGCTCCTCCAGTCGGGTCAGTCTCTTCACTATGGCAACCGACCCTTTGGCCTCCTCCCTCTGTAGCAGATCTGTCATGGTGCCAACCCTGGGGGGGAAGACACACTGAATCACTGGAGAAGTCCTGATGTTCAAGCCTAAGTGTCAGGCAGTTTGTGCATTCAACAACAGGCCAGACAAGACCAGTTGGACTGCAGTTGGAACAGAGTAGTAGCCAGGTTGGTTATGTATTGCAGAAAAAAAACACTTCATCAAAATATAGTAATAAGGTACTTGTCAGCGGTGTCTGTGATGCGTTGCTCCATGCTCTGGCTCTGCTGCTGTCTGCAGGAGAGAAGGTAGTTATCCTTCATAAAGGATTCCCACGACAACAACTCCTCCTCCTCCACCTCAGGCAGCTCCTCCTCTGGAGAGGAGAGGAAGAGAGAGGACAGGAGGAGAGTGGAGAGGAGACGGGAGGAGAGAATGGAGAGGAGACAGAGGAGAGTGAAGAAGAGAGGAGGAGAGTGGAGAGGAGGAGACAGGAGATGAGGAGAGGAGGAGAGTGGAGAGGAGGAGAGAAAAGAGGAGGAGAGTGGAGAGGAGGAGACAGGAGATGAGGAGAGAAGAGAGGAGAGGAGGAGAGTGGAGAGGAGGAGAGAAGAGAGGAGAGAGGAGAGGAGGGATGAGAGGAGGAGAGGAAGAGAGTGGAGAAGAGAGGAGGATAATGGAGAGGAGGAGAGAAAAGAAGAGAGGAGAAGAGTGGAGAGGAGGAGAGTGGAGAGGTGAGAGGATAGAGGAGATAGGAGTGGAGGCCAGTGGAGAGGAAAGGAGAGAGTAGGAGAGGAGAAGAGTGGAGAGGAGGAGAGGTGAGTGGAGAGGAGGAGAGTGGAGAGGAGGAAAGTGGATAGGAGGAGAGTGGAGAGGTGAGAGGATAGAGGATAGAGGAGATAGGAGTGGAGGAGAGTGGAGCGGAGAGGAGAGAGGAGAGAGGAGAGAGGAGGAGATTGGAGTGGAGAGGAGAGGGGGAGGAGATGGAGAGTGGAGAGGAGTGGAGAGAGGAGGAGAGAGGAGAGGAGAGGAGGAGAGTGGAGAGGAGAGAGGAGGGATGAGAGGAGGAGAGTGGAGAGGAGAAAAGAGAGGAGGAGAGTCAAGAGGAGAGGAGAGGAGAGGAGAGGAGAGGAGAGGAGAGGAGAGGAGAGGAGAGGAGAGGAGAGGAGAGGAGAGGAGGAGAGCGAGGGAGAGGAGAGAGGAGGAGAGTGGAGAGGAGAGACGAGAGAGGAGCAGAGTGGAGAGGAGAGGAAAGGAGGAGAGGAGAGAGAGAAGAGAAGGAGATTGGAGAGGAGGAGAGAGGAGAGGAGAGGAGGAGAGTGGTGATTGAGGAGGAGAGGAGGAGAGGAGGAGAGTGGAGAGGAGGCGAGGAGGAGAGACGAGAGAGGAGAGGAGAGAGGGGAGGAGGAGAGTGGAAGGAGAGGAAATGAGAGAAGGAGATTGGAGAGGATAGAGGAGAGAGGAGGAGAGTGGAAAGGAGGAGGAGAGTGGAGGAAAGGAGTGTGGAGAGGAGAGAGAAGAGTGGAGAGAGAAGAGGATGAGGAGAGATAAGAGGAGAGGAGGAGAGTGGAGAGGAAAGGGAGGAGAGAGAGAGGAGAGGAGAGAAGAGGAAGAGGGAGAGGGATGAGGGAGGAGAGGAAGAGAAGAAGAGAGTGGAGAAGAGAGGCGGATAATGGAGGGAGGAGAGAAAAGAAGAGAGGAGAGGAGGAGAGTGGAGAGGTGAGAGGATAGAGGAGCGAGGGAGATAGGAGTGGGATGCCAGTGGAGAGGAAAGGAGAGAGGAGAGAGGAGGAGATTGGAGTGGAGAGGAGAGGGGGAGGAGATGGAGAGTGGAGAGGGAGTGGAGAGAGGAGGAGAGGGAGAGGAGAGGAGGAGGAGGAGAGTGGAGAGGAGAGAGGAGGGATGAGAGGAGGAGAGTGGAGAGGAGAAAAGAGAGGAGGAGAGTCAAGAGGAGGGAGAGGAGAGGAGAGGAGAGGAGAGGAGAGGAGAGGAGAGGAGAGGATGAGGAGAGGAGAGGAGAGGAGAGGATGAGGAGAGGAAAGAGGAGGAGAGTGGAGAGGAGAGACGAGAGAGGAGCAGAGTGGAGAGGAGAGGAAAGGAGGAGAGGAGGAGAGAGAAGAGAAGGAGGATTGGAGAGGAGGAGAGAGGAGAGGAGAGGGGAGGCTGAGTGGTGATTGAGGAGGCGAGGAGGAGAGGAGGAGAGTGGAGAGGAGGCGAGGAGGAGAGACGAGAGAGGAGAGGAGAGAGGGGAGGAGGAGAGTGGAAGGAGAGGAATGAGAGAAGGAGATTGGAGAGGATAGAGGAGAGAGGAGGAGAGTGGAAAGGAGGAGGAGAGTGGAGGAAAGGAGTGTGGAGAGGAGAGAGAAGAGTGGAGAGAGAAGAGGAGAGGAGAGAGAAGAGGAGAGGAGGAGAGTGGAGAGGAAAGGGAGGAGAGGAGAGAAGGAGAGGAAGAGAGAGGAGAGGAGAGAAGGAGATTGGAGAGGAGGAGAGTTGAGAGGAGAGGAGAGGAGTAGAGAAGAGAGGAGAGTAGATGAGGAGAGTGGAGAGGAGAGAGGGGTGGAGGAGAGAGGAGAGAGAAGAGGAGGAGAGAGGAGAGAGAAGAGGAGGAGAGATGAGAGTGGAGAGGAGAGAGGGGAGACCATTTGAAGTAGAATACAGACTGTATAATATATTTAGGACAGAATAGAGAGCTGACCAGGTTAACAGTTTAAAGGCAGGTGTCCTGGACACAGACAAAGCCTTGTCTTGCACTAAAAAGCAAGTTCAGTTGAGAATCTACAGTGAAAGTGAATTGTAGTCCAGGACTAGGTTTGATATGTTTAAGCATCAGGACTCACTGAAGGTTCTGTAACTATTCGGGGGTCTCTTTAGCACTATGCGTCTGATGAAGAGGAAGATATGGGAGAGGAGGATGAGTGGAGGGGGGGCAGCGGGTCGGCTGTGGTACTCCTTGATCAGTTCATACCGCTGGAATTTCCAGATGGTGTCTGTGTTATCCTGAACCTCCTGGAAAGTATAGCTGGAGGGTGGAGAGTGAGAGGAAGAGGGAGAAGAGGGAATCACGGACAATAGTGCAGATGATACAAAGTGCATAGATTAATGAATGGATGGATGGATGGATGGATGGATGGATGGATGGGGTGGATGGGTGGATGGATGGATGGATGGTTGGATGGGTGGATGGGTGGATGGATGGATGGATGGATGGATGGATGGATGGATGGATGGATGGATGGATGGATGGATGGATGGATGGATGGATGGATGGAGGAATGGATGGATGGGTGGGTGGGTGGGTGGGTGGAGGAATGGATGGATGGATGGATGGATGGATGGATGGATGGATGGAGGATGGGTGGAGGTGGATGGATGGATGGGTGGTGGATGGATGGATGGAAAGGAGGAGGGTGGATGGATGGAGGAGGGGATGGAAAGGTGGAGGATGGAGGAATGGATGGGGAATTTGGGGGGATGGATGGAGGTGGGTGGTGGATGGTGGGGGGTGGGGGGTGGGGGGAGGAGGAGGGAAAGGAGGGGAGGAGGGAGGAGGGGGGGAGGAGGAGGAGGAGGAGGGTGGGGGGGATGGGGGGATGGATGGATGGATGGGTGGGTGGGTGGTGGAGGAATGGATGGATGGATGGATGGAGGATGGATGATGGATGGTGGATGGAGGAATGGATGGATGGATGGATGGATGGATGGGGATGGATGGATGGATGGAAATGGAGGTGGATGGAGATGGAGGGAAAATGGATGGATGGGTGGTTGGATGGATGGATGGATGAGTGGATGGAGGTATGGATGGATGGATGGATGGATGGATGGATGATGGATGGATGGATGGTCTGGATGGGATGGATTGATGGAGGATGGAATGATGATGGATGGATGGATGGATGATGGGGATGGATTGATGATGATGGCAGGAATGGATGGGAATGGATGGAGATGGATGGGATGAATGGATGGATGGATGGACTGGATGGATGGATGGATGGGGATGGATGGATGGATGAGGTGGATGGATGGATGGAGGAATATGGGTGGATGCGATGGATATATGGGGGATGGATGATGGATGGATGGATGGATGGGATGGATGGATGAGTGGATGGATGGAAGGATGGATGGATGGATGGATGGATGGATGAATGGATGGATGGATGGATGGATCAATTGTTTGATTGATTGATTGATTGATTGATGATTGGAACCTACTTGAAGATTGCTATGAGTAGGTTGAGCAGCAGGATGTTGGCAAACAGCAGGTAGACACACAGTAGGATGATAGTCAGCCACTCAGGGAACGCTGGCATCTGGTCCTCGTTAAGAATAGGACATTTAGGCTTTTGAGGCTCTGTACCATTTACACTGCAGGCCTTTCTGTCAAACAGGGCATCTGAAGCAGATAGAGGAACCAACAGTAGGTGGTTAGCTATGGCAGATAGAGGAACCAACAGTAGGTGGTTAGCTATGGCAGATAGAGGAACCAACAGTAGGTGGTTAGCTATGGCAGATAGAGGAACCAACAGTAGGTGGTTAGCTATGGCAGATAGAGGAACCAACAGTAGGTGGTTAGCTATGGCAGATAGAGGAACCAACAGTAGGTGGTTAGCTATGGCAGATAGAGGAACCAACAGTAGGTGGTTAGCTATGGCAGATAGAGGAACCAACAGTAGGTGGTTAGCTATGGCAGATAGAGGAACCAACAGTAGGTGGTTAGCTATGGCAGATAGAGGAACCAACAGTAGGTGGTTAGCTATGGCAGATAGAGGAACCAGCAGTAGGTGGTTAGCTATGGCAGATAGAGGAACCAACAGTAGGTGGTTAGCTATGGCAGATAGAGGAACCAACAGTAGGTGGTTAGCTATGGCAGATAGAGGAACCAACAGTAGGTGGTTAGCTATGGCAGATAGAGGAACCAACAGTAGGTGGTTAGCTATGGGATCTACTTTACATTGATCAAGACTGCCAGTCTGTTTCGGCTCTCCTCAAATCAAATCAACTTTTATTTGTCACCAGAAAGTTACAGACACACAAATATCATACCCCCAAGACATGCTAAACTCTTACCATTACAATAAGAGGGGAGGTTAGCATTTTATATCATACCCCCAAGACATGCTAAACTCTTACCATTACAATAAGAGGGGAGGTTAGCATTTTATATCATACCCCCAAGACATGCTAAACTCTTACCATTACAATAAGAGGGGAGGTTAGCATTGGGGTGGGTATGATATTTATGCCTCTAACGTTCTCACTCATCATTATTCACGATTCATTCACAATTATCCGTAATCATGGTAGCATCCACATTCATGTAGAAGTGTTTAGAAACATATTATATATTCTTATTTACAATAAAAGTGACTCCAAAATGACACAATACATTATTTACCATACATTTCTATTGGGCACAAAATAATCTGAAACACAACCAAAACAAGTCACAAGTTAACCTGTTTAAACATTTTGTTCACATCGTCCACAGAGAGCGAGATCACACAGTCATCTGAAAAGAACAAGGGCTTTCACGCAAGGCACAGTGTTGTATTCCTCGAAGCGAGCATAAAAAGGCACTTTGCTCGTTCGGGAGTTCTGCATCGCTGGGCAACCCACGGCTGGGTTTCCCTTTGTAACCCGTTATCGTCTGCAAGCCCTGCCACATACGACGAGCGTTGGAGCAGGTGTAATATGAGTCACTCACCACCTTCCGGAGACACTTGAAACCCCACCTCTTTAAGGAATACCTGGGATAGGATAAAGTAATCCTTCTACCCCCTCTTACCCCACCCAACAAAAAAAAAAGTAAAGTGGTTGTCCCACTGGCTATAAGGTGAATGCACCAATTTGTAAGTCGCCCTGGATAAGAGCGTCTGCTAAATGACGATGTAATAGGATTCCACCTTCCCCCTATACGACGAGCATCAGAGCCGGTGTAAACGGATTCCACCTTCCTCCTATATTGTCCTTTTGCATGTTTGATGGCTCATCAGAGGTCATCAGAGGTCGTAGGGGGCTTTCTTGTATGTGTCCATGTCCGTGAGGTCGTAGGGGGCTTTCTTATATGCGTCCATGTCCGTGAGGTCGTAGGGGGCTTTCTTATATGCGTCCATGTCCGTGAGGTCGTAGGGGGCTTTCTTGTATGTGTCCATGTCCGTGAGGTCGTAGGGGGCTTTCTTGTATGTGTCCATGTCCGTGTCCCATTCCTTGTAAGCGGTAGCTCTAGTCTTTAGCCCAGCGTGGGTGTTGCCTGTAATCCATTGTTTCTGGTTAGGGTACGTACGGTCACTGTGGGGACAACATCGTCTATGCACTTATTGATGAAGCCCGTGACTGATGTGGTAAAACTCCTCAATGCTGTTGGATGAATCCCGGATCATATCCCAGTCTGTACCAGCAAAACAGTCTTGTAGCCTCACGTCTGCTTCATCGGACCACTTCCACATTGAGCGAGTCACTGGTACCTCCTGTTTGAGCTTTTGTTTGTAGACAGGAAGCAGGAGAATGGAGTCATGGTCAGATTTGCCGAAGGGAGGATGAGGGATGGCCTTGTATGCGTTTCTGTGAGGTAGAATAAAAGTGGTCTAGAGTTTTAGCGCCCCTAGTGGTGCAGGAGACGTGTTGGTAGAGGTGATGTAGGACGGTTTTAAGTCTCCCTGTGTTAAAGTCTCCGCCCACCTGAAATGCTGCCTCTGGGTGAGCGGTTTCTTGTTTGTTTATGGCCCCATCCAGTTCGTTGAGTGCCAGAGTGGTGTTGGCTTGAGGAGGGATGTAGACAGACGTGATAATTACAGATGATAACTTTCTTGGTAGATAAAAGGGTCTACAGGCAAATTTCCTTCACACTGGAAGCAGCGCACCAGATGTTGTTTATGATGAGGCACATCCCTCCCCCTTTGGACTTTCCCGAGGCCGCCTTTGTCCGATCGTGGCGCTGCATGGAGAAACCACTGAGTTCTATGTACATAGAGTCATCCTGCCACGCCACGCCTGCCAACTTCTTATGGAATTTGGCTTGACAATGACAGCAATGGAGTTGGCAAGAGCACAAACACATCTGGGACCAGGCTACTCAAACAGCGGACACATCTGGGACCAGGCTACTCAAACAGCACACACATCTGGGACCAGGCTACTCAAACAGCGCACACATCTGGGACCAGGCTACTCAAACAGCACACACATCTGGGACCAGGCTACTCAAACAGCGCACACATCTGGGACCAGGCTACTCAAACAGCGCACACATCTGGGACCAGGCTACTCAAACAGCACACACATCTGGGACCAGGCTACTCAAACAGCACACACATCTGGGACCAGGCTACTCAAACAGCACACACATCTGGGACCAGGCTACTCAAACAGCACACACATCTGGGACCAGGCTACTCAAACAGCACACACATCTGGGACCAGGCTACTCAAACAGCACACACATCTGGGACCAGGCTACTCAAACAGCACATAGTAAAAAATAGAAAGACATGCTGCATGGATGAGGACGGTTCCTATTCATCTACACATTATTTGATCAGTTGACTTACTGTCGATGTTAGAGGGCATATTCCCAAAGATTATGAGGTATGGTTCGTAGATGGCCCCCCGGACGATCCAGTCCAGTCGGTCCTCGTTGTGGATGAGGATGCCCTGCTTAGCAACGCCAAATGCTACCACCCAGATACACAGCAGGAACATGAAGAAGAACACGTCCAACATCTGGAGAGAGATAACAAGGACTGTTATTACTGTAAACATAGTTTACTACTACATGATGGTCCATAGCAGTAACCTACCAGGGGGACTCCTGTAGATTCAAGTAAACGAGCTCTAAATGTTGTTATTAAGCGTCTCATAATCTTCCAGGGCTGCATTCAGTATGTTTTTACATTCTGGAACATTCAATTGAATGGAAATGGTGCTTTACTGAATGACCAGTTGAAAAACGGGGAGGGGTTGGGTTGTACAAGAATGTTTTGTGGAAACGTGTTGTTCAGTGCAAACCGTTCAACAGCGGAGGAAACGTTCAAGTGAACTGAACACACCTCTGCTGTCTGTCTCTCTCTGTTGAGACGTCTGGTTTCAGAGTGCCTCAGAACGGGACTTGAATGGCAGTCTATGGCAGGAGCGGCGAAAACAGCTGCTGGTTTTAATTGGCTGATCTATCAGTCCATCACCATCTAGCACCTCCCCCTCTTTGTGGATTTCAAAGGGCGAGCAGCGCAAGTAATGGGCTAAACAAGGGAGTTCGGGAAATTGGAAAGTATGCATCACAGATAAAGTTTGTACATTTAAACTTTACATGCCCAAACTCAGAATCAATCTAGAAGAAGATGGTGCTGCAGCAGTCGTTTTACAGGCTCCTGACCAATTCTGCTATTTAGTGTTTTTTTTTAACGGTGATTGTAACTTTCTTTGTACATAATGTCTCCGCCATAATTTCCTATGACCGATAACAGCTTCTGGACATCAGAAAAGCCATCACGAAGATTTCTACTTCAACGAGTGGCAGCTCTGGACGTCCTGCTTACTCCGGACCAGGCCCTAATCCCTCCTAAGAGGGAGTGGTGGTGGAAAAGAGGCAGGAGAAGCGGCCTCCTAACGAGATGAAGTCAACGAACAAATAGACCGCCATGTTGGCGAACGTACAGTCACTGGAGAACAAACTGGATGAACTCTGTTCGAGACTATCCTTCTCAACGGGACCTGAAGAACTGTAATATTCTATGTTTCTCTGTGTCTTGGCTAAACAAGGACATGGATAATATCAGTGGTGGAAAAAGTACCCAATTGTCATACTTGGGTAAAAGTAAAGATACCTTAATAGAAAATTACTCAAGTAAAAGTGAAGTACTACTTGAGTAAAAGTATTTGATTTTAAATATGCTTAAGTATCAAAAGTAAAAGTATAAATCATTTAAAATTCCTTATATTAAGCAAAGCAGACGGCACAATGTTCGTGTTTTTTTTAAATTTACGGATAGCCAGGGGGACACTCCAACACTCATAAATAATTTACAGTACATGCAAAGCTTTTGTGTTTAGTGATTCCGCCAGATCAGAGGCAGTGGAGATGACCAGGGATGTTCAATTGATAAGTGCGTGAATTGGACCATTTTTCTTTTCCTGCTAAGCATTCAAAATGTAACGAGAACTTTTGGGTGTCAGTGAAAGTTTATGGAGTAAAAAGTACATTATGTTCTTTAGGAATATAGTGAAGTAAAAGTAGTCAAAAATATACAGTGGGGAAAGAAAGTATTTAGTCAGCCACCAAATGTGCAAGTTCTCCCACTTAAAAAGATGAGAGAGGCCTGTAATTTTCATCATAGGTACACGTCAACTATGACAGACAAATTGAGAATTTTTTTTACAGAAAATCACATTGTAGGATTTTTAATGAATTTATTTGCAAATTATGGTGGAAAATAAGTATTTGGTCACCTACAAACAAGCAAGATTTCTGGCTCTCACAGACCTGTAACTTCTTCTTTAAGAGGCTCCTCTGTCCTCCACTCGTTACCTGTATTAATGGCACCTGTTTGAACTTGTTATCAGTATAAAATACACCTGTCCACAACCTCAAACAGTCACACTCCAAACTCCACTATGGCCAAGACCAAAGAGCTGTCAAAGGACACCAGAAACAAAATTGTAGACCTGCACCAGGCTGGGAAGACTGAATCTGCAATAGGTAAGCAGCTTGGTTTGAAGAAATCAACTGTGGGAGCAATTATTAGGAAATGGAAGACATACAAGACCACTGATAATCTCCCTCGATCTGGGGCTCCATGCAAGATCTCACCCCGTGGGGTCAAAATGATCACAAGAACGGTGAGCAAAAATCCCAGAACCACACAGGGGGACCTAGTGAATGACCTGCAGAGAGCTGGGACCAGAGTAACAAAGCCTACCATCAGTAACACACTACGCCGCCAGGGACTCAAATCCTGCAGTGCCAGACGTGTCCCTCTGCTTAAGCCAGTACATGTCCAGGCCCGTCTGAAGTTTGCTAGAGTGCATTTGGATGATCCAGAAGAGGATTGGGAGAATGTCAGATGAAGCAGATGAAGCAGATGCTAAGCTACAGGACTGTTTCACTAGCACAGACTGGAATATGTTCCGGGATTCATCTGATAACAGGAGTTTACCACATAAGTCACCAGCTTCATTAACAAGTGCATTGATGACGTCGTCCCCACAGTGGCCGTACGTACACATCCCGACCAGAAGCCATGGATTACAGGCAACATCCGCACTGAGCTAAAGGCTGGAGCTGCCGCTTTCAAGGAGCGGGACTCTAACCCGGACGCTTATAAGAAATCCCGCTACAACCTCAAGAACCATCAAACAGGCAAAGCGTCCAAGACTAAGATCGAATCCCACTATGCCGGCTCTGACGCTCGTCGGATGTGGCAGGGCTTGCAAACTATTACAGACTACAAAGGGAAGCACAGCTGTGAGCTTCACAGTGACGCTAGTCTACCACACCGATCTTCACAAACCATTTATGTATTGACCTCGCTTTCTGCATGTCATGCTGAAACATAAAAGGGAACTAAGGGGCCGAACCATGAAAAACAGCCCGAGACCATTATTCCTCCTCCACCAAACTTTACAGTTGGCACTATGCATTCAGGCAGGTAGCGTTCTCCTGGCATCCGCCAAACCCAGATTCATCCGTCGGACTACCAGATGGTGAAGCGTGATTCATCACTCCAGAGAACGCGTTTCCACTGCTCCAGAGTCCAATGGCGGCGAGCTTTACACCACTCTAGCCGACGCTTGGCATTGCGCATGGTGATCTTAGGTTTGTGTGCGGCTGCTTGGCCATGGAAACCCATTTCCTGAAGCTCCCGACGAACAGTTCTTGTGCTGACGTTGCTTCCAGAGGCAGTTTGGAACTCTGTAGTGAGTGTTGCAACCAAGAACAGCGCTACGCACTTCAGCACACAAGGGTCCCGTTCTGTCAGCTTGTGTGGCCTTATATTATAAACCATCAGAGACCATCAGAGAACATTATAAACCATCAGAGACCATCAAAGAACATTAGAAACCATCAGAGACCATCAGAGAACATTATAAACCATCAGAGACCATCAGAAACCATTAGAAACCATCAGAGAACATTAGATACTATTAGAGACCCTTAAGCCCAGTTCAGATCAAGACAAGACATGCAGTTCAGACTGTTTCCAGGGTAACGGTGCCTCTTTACATTGATGTGAGGAAACTTTGAATAAAGTTGCCACTGTAACAAACAAGTGTCATGAAATACATGCAACAGAAACTGGGTCCAGTTTTTGACTTGTCAGAAATGTCAGCAAGCCAGGCTAGCAACACTACATGACCAAAAGTACGTGGACACCTGCTTGTTGAACATCTCATTCCAAAATCATGGGCATTAATATGGAGTTGGTCCCCCCTTTGCTGCTATAACAGCCTCCACTCTTCTGGGAAGGCTTTCCACTAGATGTTGGAACATTGCTTGATGTTGGGCAATTAGGCCTGGCTCGCAGTTGGTGTTCCAATTCATCCCAAAGGTGATCGATGGGGTTGAGGTCAGGGCATCGTGCAGGCCAGTAAACTTCTTCCACACCGATCTTGACAAACCATTTCTGTATGGACCTCGCTTTGTGCACGGGGGCATTGTCATGCTGAAATAGGAAAGGGCCTTCCCCAAACTGTTGCCACAAAGTTGGAAGCACAGTATCATTTAGAATGTCATTGTATGCTGTAGCGTTAAGATTTCCCTTCACTGGAACTAAGGGGCCTAGCCCGAACCATGAAAACAGCCCCAGACCATTATTCCTCCTCCGCAGGTAGCGTTCTCCTGGAATCCGCCAAACCGAGATTCGTCCATCGGACTGCCAGATGATGAAGCGTGATTCATCACACCAGAGAATGCGTTTCCACTGCTCCAGAGTCCAATGGCGGCCAGCTTTACATCACTCTAGCCAACGAACAGTTATTGTGCAGACGTTGCTTCCAGAGGCAGTTTGGAACTCGGTAGTGAGTGTTGCAACCGAGGACAGACGATTCTGTGAGCTTGCGTGGCCAACCACTTCACGGCTGAGCCTTTGTTGCTCCTAGACGTTTCCACTTCACAATAACAGCACTTACAGTTGACCGGGGCAGCTCTAGCAGGGCAGAAAGTTGACGAACTGACTTGTTGGAAAAGTGGCATCCTATGACGGTGCCATGTTGAAAGTCACTGAGCTCTTCAGTAAGGCCATTCTACTGCCAATGTTTGTCTATGGAGATTGCATGGCTGTGTGCTCAATTTTATATGTTTTTTTGCATGGGCTACGTCTCAATCCACCACATCCACCAATGGCAGCGTTCTGCATCTGTGGAGGAAGGTGGCAGAGCTACAGCGGTGTTTGTCAGACCAGGTTCTCACAAAAACCTCTGTAACATCCGGATGGTTTGGCAACAAACCTCTATAGAAACTCATCTAAAGTTAACCCATACAAATGCATGGAAGTATGGAGGTAGTTTTGTGGCAACAAAATGAAGGGGTTAAATATGTGTAAAAATATACACTGTGTTTTATTATATCTCCTAGACATGGGACACTGCCTTTTTTGCCATTTATGAATTTGTTTTTCAATGCATTTCTATGGGCTACAGTAGTAAAGGCCAGATTCTCTATTTATCTAATCATTTTGGAAAAAAATGTGGGATACATAAAGGGGTCCTAAAATTCCAAATCAAATAGC